TTTGTCTCTTACAGTCTTTGTTTTTTACCTTCACAATTATTTGTTCTAATCTAGGGTGAACAGAGAGGTATGTTATGTTTACTCCAGAGGTTATAAGATCAAGACAATACCACTGAACTTTGTTCACTGAACTATCAATATGTTCACATATTCTCCAGTCCATCACAACTCTCTTTGGAACCTCCCACATTCACAAGATGCCCATTGGCTGCTAGACTTAAACCCTTAAGCACCAGCATCCCCTAGTGGTGCTATGTATCTCAACAGTTTGCTTCATTGCAGTATTCTTGGAGGATTGACTTTTAGTAGAAAGTACAGGCAGTGCGCCTCTTAATTCCATGTTATACTGGGGAATCTTTGCCTTTCAGCTACAAATCCTGTAGACTACATCAAGAGTAGAAACACAGTTTTATTTTAACTGTCTTTAGCCACTGCATCTATCACACACTTATTACAAAAGACACACACATCAAAGTGCAGGGCTTATTTGTAAGGCACATTAAATGAAGAGAAAAATCAATCAAATAAAAAAATGACATTTTTACCATGGAGCCTTCCTGGAGGCTTTAAAAGAAAAGATAAACTCAGTGACTATTTCTAGAGCAGTATGTTCCAAAGCTACTGACTTCTACTCAGCTTTTTACATAAAGATGGTTTGTGGAGAAGAAATTGTATTAATCATAAATGTATTCATCTGTCTGCTGATTTAGTTGAGATATTTAAAGACCAGGATCTGGCAAACTTGCTAGATGAGAATTCTAAATGAGATGTATCTGCTCTACATTTCATTAATACTTCATGAAAATTCAACAATCTGTTCAGAAAATATTCTGAGTCCTGCTGTGCTCTGCTCTATGCACAAGTGTCTCTTGTTTGTGTGCATAGACTCAGTGGCAGTTTAAGGTGATATTCTCCAGTCCAGCTTTGAAGTAACAGCTCTCTCCTTAGACAGACTTGAAATCCAATTGAAATCCTCTCTCCTCATTCCCCACAAAGACTGAATCACTGGCCTTGGGACAAAAGGTATTTGCTCCCCTCAACCCTGAGACTGTACAGCCCTGAGTCTGCAATAACCCCTAATGCTGCTGCCTAGGGGACAATGGATTGTTGACCAAGATAGCAGCAGGTAGGGTGACCAGAGGAGAGGAATATTGGGACACATTGGGGGGGGGAGGGTGTCCGCTAGCGGAGGGAAAAAAAAAAAAAAAGCCGAGTGCTGCCAGCGGAGTGAAATATCGGGACACGGGACAAACACCTAAATATCGGGACAGTCCTGATTTTATCAGGACTTCTGGTCACCCTAGCAGCAGGTCCATCTGCAGGGAATGGGACCTTAAAGTTAAGCACATGATTAAGTGCTGACTGTGATGAATAGGGACGAACATAAGTATGTGTGAAAGTGCTTTGCTGATTCAGGGCCTCTGCAACAGAACCTGCAGCCCTCTCCAGATTCAGAGGGGGGAACAAGATTTTACCCTGCGTATCTTGCATCTTAAGTCCAATATGTCCGTGCCGTAACCTAACTTCTGCCACATTTAGCTATAGCCAATGTCATGTAGCAGATTTTTATACCAGGTGCTTATTGGCACTGCTTATGCATACTTCCAGTATTTGTCTGGAGTTAACTACGGGACGCTTGAGGTAGACGGAGCATATGTGATTTGATTGTAGTTATGGGCCAAATCCTGAGGTCCTTTCTCAGATTTAATTTAGTACGAGTTTGCCTGAGTAAGTACCTCAGATCAGGCCCTTTATGAGTAGGAGTGAAAACTGAGAGTGACTGTGTTAAGTGAGACATGACAAACCTGACTAGCACTTCTTGTTGATATTCTGTTATTTTTGTGGTTAGGGCTCATGAGGATTTTTGTAAGGAAGTTTATTTTTGCAAGCTGTTGAGTGCTGACCGTGATATGGGGTGGTTTTCATTTAAGTAAATATCTGTTAACTTTTGTTAAGGTTCTTGGACAGACAAATTGTTATTCTGGAATTTACATGAAAAGCGGTGTAGAATTGTTTGGTTTAGACTGTTCAGTGAAAGTATGTGTTGTAAGTTTCAACAAATTATGGACAATTATGGTTTAGGGCAAACTAATCAGTAGCTTTTCATTTTGACAGCTGTCAGCTCTCCTCTCTCTTTTCAAAGATCTAGACATATTCAGCAGCACCCAGACACTATTTTTTATAAAATATTACAATTCCTTACAACTTGAAGGTAGCTATTGAATATATACGTTTGATAAATCGTTTTTAGGCAGGTTAGCCAACTGTCTGTGCCAGTTGCATAAACTGGATGATTCTGAAAATTAAGTAACTATTGTAGTGAAAATATACATTAAAAACAGCATCGAGCATGCAGCAGCAAATATTAATCCTGCTGGTTAAATAATGGGACACACATAATAAACACATTATTTAAAATTAAAATTGTTTTTGACCAATTCTTTAGAGCCTTTTACCATTGTAGCAATCATTGCCCATGTATACGGACTGCTTGAGTGTTTCAGTGATCCCTGTGGAGAACAGTATGAATATTTTTTCCAGACCTGAGAAAAGGAAAATAGATAGCTGTAATGGAACTGCAGGAGCAGCCAAGCAGTAGATTGATTCAACAGGAGAAATTCAATGTATCCCAGAAGATTTCCTAGGATTTTCTCTCCTGCTGCGTTGGGCGCAATTTGTTGTAATGAGAAACTGAGGATTTTTTTGTCAGGTGTGTTAAAGCTTGTAGTGATGGCTTGAAGGTAAAAAGAAAGAAAGTAAAACTGAAAACGTCTCTCTTCAGAAAATGCTTTCGGATCTGGGAAGACTAAAGGCAACTTCCTTGAGGTACAAAAGAGGTCAAATTTCTCATGCAAGTAACATTTCACAAAAGACACTAGCTGAATGTATAGGGTGGGGAAAAAAATAACCCTACTGTATTAAGTGGTTTGAACACTAGAGCATACCCCAGAAAACAAACGGGGGAAGGTTTATGAAAAGACCCAGTGAAATTGCAGTCTGTCTTACTGTAATCTTTATGCTGTGAAATATATGGAGAAACCCACTTAGTACTGCTGGCCTGACAGTCATTGTTAATAGGTTCGGGGGAAAAGACAAGGGAGGATTTTTTAAGTGAACATTCAAATGGGCATTGCATTTAGTTGGGGTGAAATTTGCTCCTGCGCGGAGAGCTGGTGCAATACCTATGCCTTACTCAAGTTCCACTTAAGCCCTATTTTGAAAGGTTAAGTGGGACTTGTGTGGTCATGTAGTTTGTGCTGGCCCATTGAACAGGGACGATTTTCACCCTTAAGAAGTTTGGGTGTTTCAAAGCACTCGTGTCCTCTTGTTATAACAAGTCATGGCCATTACAGATGTATGGTTTCTGCCACTCTTGCAACCCACAACTTATGCAAACCTTTTGCTTCTTATAATATGGAGGAAGCACTTCTTACAATATGGTGCTGTGATGCACCTCAAGTCCCTGTCTAAGGCTTTGTCTACATTGGAACTTCGTCAGCAAAACTTTTGTCATTCAGGGGTGTTAGCCTCCCCCCAGGCTCCCGAATGACAAAAAGCCAGGTGTGAACAGCGCTTTGTCGGCAGGATAGTGCTGCCGCCACTCATGGGAGGTGGACGTTTTTTGTTGGCAGAAGAGGTCTCTCTTGCCGACAATAGGCAGCTACACTGTGCGCCTTTTAGTGGCACAGCTGTGTCGCTAAAAGGTGCGTAGGTGTAGACAAAGCCTCGGTTATCCAGAGGTAGTATGCTAGTGGGACAGTTTCCCAAGCAAAATGCAGAACATTGTCAGTAGCCTACTGAAATCAAAGATGTGCCGGGTGTGAGATATTCATATTCGCAGCAGCATGCATTGTTTTGCATTTCCATGCCCCGGACATTTCACTGCCGTCACGGAGCCTCATTGTGTGCTGCAATATCACATGATGAGGCAGGACTAAGAGAAGAAATAGATACTGTAATGAAAAACTGCATTTTCAGTTTACACAGCTGTAATGCATTACACCACGCACAGGGCCAGCACAGACGGTGTAGTGTCTACACAGGCACTTCATTTACTTGTGAACACTCACCACATTCAGAATCAAAAGACCTGGCATCAGCAGCCACAAGCCAATGCCAGCCATGCCCTAGCTCCTTCCCCATCTCTCCTCCACCAGACTGCCCAAAGCTGTTCGACAGCTCTGGGACCCAATGAATCCCAAACCCTACCCACATAAAGCAGGATCAGCCATAGCACCTTCTGTTGGCTTATGAGTGTATGTCTACACTGCAGCTTGGAGTGAGCCTCCCAGACTGTGTAGACAGACAGTGTAGTGTCTACACTAGTGGAGGTGGAGCTAGTGCATGAAAAACAGCTGTGTGGATGTTGCAGCTGCAGCACAGACTCCGGCTAGCCTCCTGAATTCAGAGCCAGAGGGTTAGATGGACATGACAGCCAGAGCTGCTGCCAGAGCCACAATGTACACATATTGCCAATGCCCTCAGAATCTCCCCCTGCATTTAACACAAGAACCAGCGCTGGCAACCAGGGAGGGGCACGACCACCTCAAACATTGGGCTATTCATTACTATTTCCTTCACACTTCATATTAATTCATTTACATTAATTCCATCACCCTTAATTTCAAACACAGGAGCTCCCACGGCGATAGTCTCTACCAACAAGTGATTTTTTGGTGATGGAATGATGGGTGTGATGTGCTTATAAAAAGATCAGATGTTGACAAAGGCTACTGTGGCTAATCAGAGCTGCTGCTGTGGTTTCCATTAATATTTCACATCCTGTCCTATTGACTATCCAAGCAGAATGGATATTTTATTTCATATGCTAATCCAGAAAGCACACTGGGAAATTGAGGTTGAAGGTGTGCACCAAAGCACTTTCAGGAATAACAGTGATAAGCCTTAACTGAATGGTCTCCCGGGGGGAAATACTAGCTTTAATAAACAGACCATCCCTGTAGGACAGTTGAATAAACCACTGTCATCACAACTCTTACCTGTATGGTTTTAGAGTCCTGTTGCCATAAAGCAACGCTTCCTCCCAACGTCTGAGATTAATACAGGCATCCATGGCGCAGTCAAGCATTTTCAGCAGATAGATGTTTGTGTCTGGAAGACGATCTGCATTGTTATTTAGAAGAGCCTGGCACATTGCCAGAACCTGCTCCCACTCTGTTATTAACCTTAGTTAAGGATTCATCTTCTTCATCAAACAAAAAATACAAGTTTCAATGTTGTTAGCAAGGAATAAGAGCCACGGGGCATTAAGATAAAAGAGATTCCATTATTCCAGGCTCTGTTTCAACTCCTGAAAACATACTTAAAAAAACCTAAGTGGTACCTCAGGTAACTAAATTTTGTTTACAGTTAACAAACCATCTTCTAACGAAGGCCGCATTTTGAGTGGTAAGGAGTAAAGGAAAGGTGACACGATGAGAGGATGTATTATTATTGTTTTAATATATAACTGAAGCAAAACCCCGCTACAATTATTCTTTGGCTATTTGAAACATTATTATTTTCTTAAACACCTTTCCTAGTTGCAGTGATTTCTTCAGTGTTCTCGTGAAATTAAAACTGAGCCTGCAGATACCTAATTTTCTTTTTATTTGAAACAGTTCTGGAGAGCAAGGTTTTGTCAGTGATCTAATTGGCTGTGTCAGAGAAGCGGCACTGCAGGTTTCATGGATAACAGAGAAAACGTTGCAGTTCCACTGTCTGATTGTCGCTTCGGTTTAAGGATCTTGGTAAGAAAGAATATTTTAATTTCCAATACAAGAAGGTTTAATCTCCAGTACAAGAAGGTATGTTGGAAAAGTGAATTGGGATTCACATTCAAATGAATGAGGCATTCACTATTGCAAACCACTCTGATCTTCATCATGTATTGAAGTTACTTAACCTATTCTCCTTTCACTTACACTAGTGTAAATCACAAATGACTCCTTGATAGTTAATGGACTTACACTAGCATAAAGCCCATGTAAAAGCAAAAAGAGAATCAGACCTAGTTTTCAGCTTTCTCATCTGTAAAATGGATACTATGGCCTTGATCCAGTAAAGCACTTAGGCATATTCTTAACTTTAGCATGTGAGCAATCCCACTGAGGTCATATATACCAACGTATACCCTGGCAAACAAAATAATAATACTGTGCACTTATATAGCACTTTCCATCCAAGAATCTCAAAGTGCTTCACAATTTATTTAACCTCTTGTAGCCTTTGATTAATTCAGAAGGCAAATTGTACATGTCACTAATGACAGGTTCTTTACTCAGGTGGAGACAAAGCTTTTATAAGAAGGGAGTTTGGTGAGTAACATAAATATGGACGTGAAGACTTAATTTAAAACCCAAATAACCCAAAGTATTAATGCATTTCCACAAAAAGATACATACAACTTAAAGATATGTAGTGTTATCATATTCACAAACTCCTAGAGACCACCGAAAACAAACACAGAAGAAAGTAGTAAGTGGAGGTGACAGTGCAGCTTGCATCATCTTGTCAACCCCCATGTACTCAACTAGGGTCAAGCAAACACCATTTTTATACACCTTTTCTCTTACACCCACACATGGCTGGGACAATGTTTGATCAAGACTCAACCCCTGTCCATGTGTGGAATTCCAAGGAACCATAATTAATGTTCTAGCTGCTTACACAAAATATTTTCGTCAATACGCTTCCCAGTAGTCATGATACATCAATGCAGTTAGCTCCCTGGTTACATATACTTATAAGCCCCCAAATCTACTATTTTAAACTTCTTTTTGTTCTTCTGTTGGTTTACTTATTTATCACAAACTATATATTGCTAAATCTTATGAATGTCAAGCATTCATGCTAACCCTCAGGCCTACAGGCCTCAAACCTATTGCGTAAAATCTACTTTAAATATTAATATGTATATATTTTATGTTTCCCTACTGTCATAACAGCTGTAATGGTTTCCATTTTTACTATTTAAAGCATTTTAGTATTGCTTAGCACATAATGTATAGTTTAATCTTGCAAAACAAACTCCCCTAAGATCAGGTCAGGGGGTCACAGGTCCACACTCATGCCAATGCTGAAAAGCAGCACAGGCCCCAGTCCAGCAATGCACTCAAGCACTCCATGAGTACTCCCAGGGTGAGGGAATGAGTTTTACCTGACCATGGAAACACTCATGTACTTAAATTTAACAACATGCCTAAGTGCTTTGCTGAATCAGGATCAATAATACTCACCTATAAGGCATGGTTAGTGTGACATTAAATTAATTGTTTGTTCAGTGCTTTGAGACCCTTAGATAGAAAGCACTTTATTAGGGAAGAAATTTATCATTATTTTATTTGCCAACAATGATGTGGTTTATGAATATTGATTTCTCACACAAGATTCAGGAACTACACTTCTACCTCGATATAACGTTGTCCTCGGGAGCCAAAAAATCTTACCGCGTTATAGGTTTATAGATTCATAGATTCATAGATTATAGGACTGGAAGGGACCTCGAGAGGTCATCGAGTCCAGTCCCCTGCCCGCATGGCAGGACCAAATACTGTCTAGACCATCCCTGATGGTCTAGATGGTCTAGGTGAAACCATGTTATATCGAACTTGCTTTGATCCGCCGGAGTGCGCAGCCCCGCCACCCCGGAGCACTGCTTTACCGTGTTATATCCGAATTCATGTTATATCAGGTCGCGTTATATCAGGGTAGAGGTGTATATTGAAATGTTAATTAAAAAGAGTAACTATAAAACAGGTATATCAAACAGTACTTTGACAAAAATTCCTACACTATGCCTATTGAGAAAATATTAGCATAATATTAATAATGATGTTAATTTAATATAGAATTATGGAATCCTTTATAAAAACTCTTTTTAAGGGCTAGATACAGTCATTTCAGATATGTAGCTTAGGCCTTGTCTACACTGCCACTTTACAGCGCTGCAAATTTCTCGCTCGGGGGGTGAAACCCACCCCCCGAGCACTGCAAGATTCAGCGCTGTAAAGTGGCAGTGTAGACAGTGCACCAGCGCTGGGTAGCTACTCCTCTCATAGGGGTGTTCTATTTTTACCGGTGCCACGACTACACAGCCTGCTGCAGTAGCGTTTTACTGTTGCTAGTGAAGACATACCCTGAATCTTTCTCTCTCAGGCATACACCACTGTGTTCTTTATGGCTGATTAAGGATAGAATATGAACAGGAGAAAGCAAGATGATTTTCACTTGATAAAATGTTTGTAGTAAGCATAAAGCATTGACACTCCAGAGAGATCAACATCTTAGCTGATGCTCAGCATCACTCAAGATGTTTTCATGTCTCAAGATATTGTTTCATATATTCTGTAGAATCTAATATGAAAAGTCTAATCTTCCAAACCTCCTGAGGCCAAATTCTGGCCGGTAAAGTGCATAATCACAAGCCAGAAAACCTGCAGTCAGCAGTTCGAGTGCAATGGAGAAATTAGCTGTCCCAATTGTAACTTAGGCTCGAGTAGCAGCCATTGTGCAGTGATCTTTTCCCCATTGCCACGGTAATTGCCCTGTGCTCAGCTTTGACTGCTCAGTTTGTGTGCTTAATCATGAATATGGGACATTTGTTGTTTAAGGGTATCTCTGTGCAGATTTGGAAGGTGCTAACTTTCCCAACCCTACATTCTAAAAACTCTTTTGTTTGTTTGAAAAGAAAGTGTAACATTTGCAGAAATTGATGGGTAAATTACCCACTTTGCAGGGAAAGTTTCCTACTAACTATTGGTAAATGGACAAATGTATCCGTCAAGCCCGGTCTTCTGATATTGCAGAAGACAAAATTTTACACTGCTGCAACACTGGGACTTGATGAGAAGAGAGATTAAACATTTCAGGTGGCACATCCCTAAGAGAAAAATCAAATAAATAAACAGCTGAGATTGCTTTTCTAAGATGGTCCTGACACCTTCTGCTACGACAATTTCAGTTACATTTTTAAATACCAACATATCAGCTCAAATGAATACTTTTGGTTAATGACCCCAGCAAAAGGTCAGAATGGCCCACAATTTTATTTTGCATATACAATTTTTCTCCTACAATTAAACTGAGGCACATTTAATTTCACCTGCAATTGCACCCGTTTAGACACATATACCCTGGCTGCACTTTTTAGGCATTTAAATAGTTTTAATTACACAAGCAACTAGATGTACCAACAATTTAGCATCCACATTAAATTGTATGTCTAAAATTATGCCTCTACGATCAAAGGTCTGATTCAATTCTGGCTAAAAAGCAGGTCAAAGGACACATTCACATTATTCTATGCTTGAATTCACTAACGGCAAAGGTGAAAGAGATGCTGGACCAGACTGGCTTCCCCAGGCTGGTGATTTAAAGGGCCCGGGCTCCCTGCAGCGGCCGGAGCCCAGGGCCCTTTAAATCACTACCCGAACCCCGCTGCCAGAGTCCCGGCCCTTTAAATCAAGTGCCCGAGCCCCGCCACCGCTTCCCCAGGGCTCGGGCAGCGTTATAAAGGGCCCAGGGATCCCCACAGGGGCCAGAGCCCCTGGCCCTTTAAATCCCCACAGGAGCCCTGCCGCCGCTACCCCAGGGCTCAGGCGGTGATTGAAAGGGCCCAGGGATCCCCGCCTCAGGAGCCCTGTGCCCTTTAAATCGCCGCTCAAGCCAGGCTGCCAGAGACCCGGGATAAGGGTGACAGGGCTCCATTGGCGATTTAAAGGGCCTGGAGCTCCGCTGTGGTAGCAGTGGCCAGAGGCGTGGGCCTTTAAATCGCCTCTGCAGCTGGTACCTCGGGGGTGATTTAAAGGCCCCGCCTCTTCCGGTTGAGGCCACACCTCTTCCAGTTGAGGCCACGCCCCTGCTCAGGACTCCAGCATACCGGTAAATCCTTTAATTTACTTTCACCCCTGACTAATGGCATCTGAATAGTGAACTACGGAAAATCAGAGACAGCTTTTACAATGACTACGTGGTCTTCGATTTCTCTTAAGCCAAAGGAAGACTAAGAACCCTGTTCTACCACTCTAATTTATAATGAGTCATACACCTTATTAGATAAGTAATCCCACTGAAATCAAGGTACTATGTGAGTAAACATGCCAGAACTGTGCCCAGTGTTAGACCAAAAACTTAGTGACCGCTCTTTGTGCTAATAAATTGGTTCCTCTGATTAGAAGAAAATCCTATGTTTTGGCAAATGGAGGTCAGCTTCTCTGGAAAATGATGGTACAAAACCGATCTGCTCTTTTCCAGCCTAGGACATCTCTAAACAAACAACTTTTTTTGCAGGGCCAAAATGGAGCACCCAGAGATTCTGACCTATGTAGCTCTAGAGCTGTACCAAGATGCCAGAAAACAGCAAGGCATCCTGCCACCGTTCATGAGCCAAATTCATGGCCGGTGTAACTCCACTGAAATAAATGGAGTAAGTGCAAGGAGGAATACAGACCAATATGCCTATTGTTAGCTACAAAAATCTCTGTTTCTCCCACACAGCATTTCTTGGTCATTGTGATTGTCTTTAAACACTTACAAGGCTGCCATTATGCCTTAGCATGATTTATTAGTACAAGACAGTCTCATTAAGTTTTGGCTTAACAATTGTTTTGAGTATTATAATTACTCATGCATTATATTAGGGTAGTGCCTAGAGGCTCTGATTAGGATAAAGGTCATGTTACGGTAAGTGCTGTATAAAGAGGTAGACAGTCCCTGCCATGATGAGATTACACCTCTACCTCGATATAACGCGACCTGATATAACACGAATTTGAATATAACGTGGAAAAGCAGTGCTCGGGGGGGGAGGGGAGGGCTGCACACTCCGGTGGATCAAAGCAAGTTTGATATAACGCGGCTTCACCTATAATGCGGTAAGATTTTTTGGCTCCCGAGGACAGCGTTATATCGAGGTAGAGGTGTATAGGCTAAGCACCCTAAAATGACATTCATTGGTACAATTAAAATATTATTTGGTTTACGATTCAAATGAATGCAGAGTACATTTAAAAAAAAAAAAGAAAAAAGGGAAGATTGAAGAAAAAAAATTTCTACCCCAAATGCGGTGCAAAAGCTTACAAGATGGGCACTATGGATTGTTAGTATACATTTCATCCTGTCACTGAAAGGATACCTTCTTGTGACCTTGGGTCTCCCACTTTAGCTACAGCATCTTTGATTTCTTTCCAGGCTTGCTCTTCACCTGCCAGCATGTCAGCATCCTGTTTTGACAGAAAGAAAAGCAAGAAACAAAAGCGCTTGATAAGAAAAACAAAGTTGACTCTGAAAGAACATGCCATGATGATGAGCAAAGGGTTATAAAAGATTACACTGGCACAAAGAGTGTTGGGCCCGTGTATCAAAACATTTCCCCTCAAATAATATCTGAAATGAATAATGGAATTCACTCTTGGACTGTGTTTGTCTCTCCTCTGTATTTGCTTTCCATGAATTTTCTAATGAATGAGATTACTCACTGGAATGTTCAAGGATAATGAAAATGTTAAGGAATATTAGAACGTATCAAGGAAGGTGAATTTTGAATTCATAAGCAGTGCGTATGCAGACCAAGGTACTGATTCTAAGAATTATGATCATCTGAGCAGGGAATAGAAGCAATAGCACGTCTCATGTTTCCTATAAAAACAAATCAAACAGCTCAGATGTCAGCAACTCACAAAGAACTGCTCACTAACAGTCTACAGACCCACAAAACTATGTGTAGAAATGACTCAGCTAATAATTTTGAATAACTTCAATAAAACTGTAAGCACAGACAGTTTGCAAGCAGAAAGAGCCTAACTTCATTCAATATTCCAATTATAAGCACGAGTCCAGTGAATTAGTTTGCTGCTCAGGTTACTTTTGGGGGTGGAAGTGAGGGGGAAAATCACAGTTATCCCCGTTCCTGCCGGTAAACCATATCAACAGTCACATTTTCACATCACTCTTTCATAATGCAGTGTATGGAGGGACAATGCTTAATGGTGACAGTAAGGGACTGAACATGTGGAGACAACTCTTCCAGTGACTTACTGCGTAACTTTAGGCAAGTCACTTAGAGCCAGATTTTTTAAAGGTTTTTAGGTGTCTAAAAACACAGTTAGTGGCATTTTCAAAAGTGCTTTTAACCTAATTGTGCTTCAATTTCTCCAGCTGTAAAATGGGGAGAATAATACCCACTTTTGCAAAGGCTTTGGTACCCTTCAGATGAAAGCTGTTACAGAAGTATAAATTATACTTATTTTCAAATAATCTCAAAAACAGCCCTCTGGGGAAACGGATTACATGAAAGAAATTGGGTATAAGGAACTAGCCAAGCACTTTTGAGCCAATACACACTCCATGGGTACCACAAGAACACTGCTGTTGAGAAGTTTAAAATCCATGTCTCTCTTGTACTACATAAATAGAGAGAAATCAGAGAAGAAAATTATTATTGTAAATTCAAAATAACAGAAAATATTTGCAGGGCACCTGTGTTCACTTTCATGTTTAATTTTGCAGTTATGTCTTTCACTCTGTCACACAAAACTGTTGGACTCTTGCATTGTCCAAGAGATGGTTAAATCAAAATTGGTCTCAGCTGTTTTATAATTCTGTAACATTCTGCATCAGAAAGGTACGAAGAGGGCAGCATTACCCTATTGCAATTTGCAAATGCAAAAACCAGCTCTCCGATTAAAAAAAAGCTCACCTGGAAATAATTTTGTACATGTCTAAATCTGCCACCAGAAAGGAAAAGGGTCAAAGTTGGGACAGAAGAGCTCATGTTGCTGTAGCCATGTTAGCATAGCTAATACTACAGACCTAGCCTTGTTAAGTTTTGTACCAGACTCACATGGAATGACTCAAATTCAACCTTGATATAACTCCACTGATTTTTATGGCATTGCATTGCTTACAACAAGGCTGAACTTGGTCTGACAAACTGTTCAGAATATTGGGCCTGATGGTGCTCACTGAATGCTTTTGTAAATCCAGAGTTGCTCCACTGATTTTCACTGATTATAAATGAAAACAAAATTTGGCCTATAAAATTAAATAATACATGACTGCAAATTTAAGGTGGGGGAGAGGGGGTTACATGAACAAAAAGGAAGAAATTCCCACAACCACTGTAACTCAGCCACTTGCCCAAACACAGTAGTCACCTTGCTATATATATGCATTGTGTTAAAATCCAGGCTGATACACCTATAACCAAGTGCTCAGAGACACTGGAATAACAACCACTGGGCCAGATTTAGAGGTGAGAATAAAATGCTGTACTAGATCACTCCACAGATACAAGGCAGTGTTAGGGGGGTTAATTTACATGTTGTGGGACTGATAGATGGTATAAGTTTAAAGCATATGTCAAGGTAGGATTTTAACTTGAACCTTCTTAGACCTATTGGGAGTTGCTTTACCTGCCACACCCCTCCCTTCCAGCAGCTAACGACGCAAGCTGCAGGGACATGGAATCAGATTTTCCCTAGCCCTTCCCTAGCCCTTACATGGGACACAAGGATACAAACAGTCTACCCACCCTGTATGTCCCCTGCAAGACAATCACAGGCACTGTGTTCGGTGGAGCACAGAAACTGCACCCTGTGCACACATCACACTAGAGGGGGCTGGAGGCATGGCCTTGACCGCCTTCCCCAGGAGCCTGGGGTGTGGAGGGAGCTCTGGCCCTGATAAAGACTTCAAGATTTAAGTCACTACTTCGGTGGGAGATTTGCCTTTGTTTTCAGGATTAGACTGTTGGGGGTCTTGCTTGGGTAAAGATTTGGCCCGTTAAACATCCTTGATTCCTGGAAGAGGGTTCTTCCTATATTTTTGTTGCTAGTTCCAAATTTCAGACAGGACAGATTTTTTCTGTCCTTTTCTGTAGGACTTTGCCCAGGGGATGCTGGCTACTCCTTCAATAAAGGCAATCAATCGGAAGCAGCAAAATGACTAAGAGTGGTCACTGTGAAAATACTTCTGGCTTACAGGCTAATCAGCTTTTCCCAGCAAGTTGTTTCTGTCACTGACTTGGACTCTGCTCTGAAAATCTTAGCCATGTGATATGACTAAGAAGCTAAAAATACAAAGCTGCCTTGGAGTAGGAATTATGAAAATAATTGAAATGATTAATAGTTACGCCAAACTGTTTAATTTCATCTAAGAGCATGGCAGTAACAAGATCTAAATGTCCATGAAATAACCCATTCAAAGTGACTCTTCAGAGCATGTTCCCAGCCAAACCTCCAGGTGTGCAGTTGCAGCAGTAAAGAGGAACATGTCTTTTCATCTGTTGAAATGGAGAACCCACCCTGTAGCAAAGTGAGCAGCCTTTGAACAACAATGAAAGTCTAGTGACACCAGTCTAATTATTTCCCCCACTGGCAATACTGGTGTTCAACACAAGGGTTTAGTCTTCAAAAGAACAAACTGATTTGCTTATTCGGATCCAGTGTCATTCTGAAAAAATAATTAACTGGATCACAGGGATACACAACGAACTTCCAGCGGATGAGGCCGGCACATTTACAGATTCAGGTTTCACATGTGGAGGTGTACTGATGAGGGAAGTGCAAGTGGATATGTTGGGTGGAATGGTTCAGAGAGAAGGAGCGCACTGAGCAGTGGCCCCTGCTGTTGCAGTACCTGCTGTTCCTATAGTATGCTTGTTGCCAGATGCCAGCAGGAGAATAGGGTAACACAGACCTGGCAACATCGCCAGTATGATTAGCCACACTCCCTTGGGGTCATGAAGTGCCACTGGGCATGCTAGTTGAGCCCCCGATCCGGTACTCAAGGGAACCCAAGATCTGTGTTGTATCTTACCCCTGAATGGCTATCCTGAGAAAGAAGATCCCTGCACCTTCCTCACTTCCCTATGCACAGGGGATGCCCCAAATTTAGCCCTTAGCTTGTCTCCTGGATGGTGACTTTAAGTTCTTCAGTAAAACCTCTGTCCTGCTGAGGGCACAAGAAAGGTCTGCATTTTTTCCCTCCTTTCATTCCTTCTTGTGGACAAGTTTGGCAGCAGTGTGCAGCTTTCTAACTGCAGGGTGCCTGAAGATTCATGGTCTCCACCAAGCAGATCTCTGGTACTTTGCAAGGACTGCCCACCCTTTCAATAGCTTTCCAGTTCAAAATATGTTCTTTCCCAGAGGCTGACTTGGCTTTTGTAGTAAAACCAGCCACAATCTAAATTCCTCCTAAATAGTCTTGAGCAGTGGTAAGACCCTGATATCTCAATAGAGAGGATACTGTGTAATTTCAGACACTTCCCCCCCAAACTCACTTTGGATAATTAAAACTCAAAGATTCTTGTGCTTAACTACAAAAGGGCAGGATTTTACCCTTAAAATTAATTTGGCAGTTCACACTGTTTACAGTGAGTAGTGCACAGAGGAATGTGTAATACTATTATAAGCAGAATTGTATTTTGGTAAAGCTCTGGGTTTTTTCCCTTCCCTAGCTGAGGCAGATGTACAGTATCATAAAGGATTTGAGAACTCAGGACTAGCAAATCCCTTATGCATTTGCCTGAACATTATGAATCCTACAGATTGTAAATCAGACAGCATTGTTTGTTGTTTTTCCTTTGGAATACCCTGCTTGTAAATCCAGTTATCTTCCTGAGCAACTGTGAAGCTTGAGGTTTTAAGTGTGTAGATATTCATCATCAATTTAAATGCAAGGAACTTGTAAGTGGGTGTGCCCAGCTGTGTTCACTGGAAATAGTCTGCTGCACAACAGGCATTATTAAAAGTCAACATTTGTCATAAGCTATCATAGTCTCTCCCCAGTGCAGGGTTCTTTTAGCCACAATTGTTGAAGCGGAGCTGTGACCACCAATAACAAGAACAAGGGGACAAAATGGAAGAAATAGGGAGAAACATTTGATGATGATGATTTCTTTGTATTGTGGTCAAACCTAGAGGTCCTAGCTCTATAGTGCTACGCACTATGCAAACATTTAACAAAAAGATGGTATTAGATATTGATAGACACCACTCATCGTAGGTACGGGACATGCTCCAATTTTTTCCACAGGTCACATGAGTCAACATCTGTCCTGTCATTTCTGCTACTTCTTGGTGCCTTATTTCCTGAAAGTGGTTTCTCTCAACTAGAGAGAGGTGTTGTCTCTGGGTACAGGATACATATTGTCTTCTCTGCTCTGATTTTCTCTTCCTCCCCTGCTGTCTTTGACCTCCCTCTCTTGTCTTCTTTCTCTCAT